TGTTTTCTTCTGAGAAGATTTCCAAGAACCATGTGGTAATTACATTGTGTTTTTTAGTATTATATTTTGTATTTTTTGTTGTTTTGACTATTATTCTATCTCACTACATATCAAATAAAGTATCAATATACTTGATATTTTATGTACGTAAATAAATCTTATTCCATATTTACGTTAAAATGTTGCTAAATGTTTTTATATTCGTAATTACTTAGTAAAAGTCAATGAAATGAAAGTTCGCTTTGAAATTGTATAGAAGTTCTAAATAACATAAAAGGTAATGCTTTATAAAACCGAATCAAGCCAAATTTCCATTACATATGTCTTAAACGATAGGGAATATTCTTACACTGTTTTGGAAGTTTTTTTTTGGAGTCGTAACTTAAGTTGAAAAAAAAAACCAAGAAAACTACATAGGGTAAGTTAAGTTTGGAACAATAGAAAAGCGCAGGATAAGTAAAGCTAGGTTTATAACATGTAACAAAACACCAAAAGCAAACTGGAAAGGTTAGGTTTGGAACATTTTTAATACCATAAAAAAACATCGAAAAAGCGAAAATATTTTCTATTATAACGTGTGATTTTATAAAAATTGTGAGTGTCAGCATACCTGTTACAAAACTGAAAACATATGAAACAATTTTAATATCTTAATGAAATAAATTAAGACCCCGAAAAAAAATCTTCATAGCAATATATTCATCTTCAGCAATCTTCATAGCAATAATACTCATGATGATCATTTCCTAAAGTTTAAAATTGATTTTATGAAAACTTGGTTTGATTCGCTGTTGTAAAGTTGTTCCAAATAAAATTATTATTCAAATGTTAAAAGACTTTGTTTATTGTTGTGTTTGGGTTGGAATTTAAAATGGGAGTGTGACTCACTTTCCAATGGCAAATTGACCGAAATTTATTATTAAAAAGTACACATCTTTAGGTTTGTTTATAATAAAATTATGAATAACATCAACAATATGTGATTTAATAAAAATAAAGATATCTGTAATAGTTTATTTTTCTATTTAAACTAAGTTACCAGCAGTTACTTCCAACCTCTGAAGTTTTTGTAACTTATTAAATTATAAGAATAAGCTTTACAGTTATAATTAACTACAAAGGAAGAACATTGTATGAACAACTTATCAATTTTTAATACTTTCTGTTTTTAGGTGTGAAACAAGTAAAAAGCAGTAGAAAACATAATCTATGGATTCACAGAAATAGAATTTGAACAAAGATAAAATTTTACATTCTATTCATATTTAAAAGAACTAAATGTTGAACTAGAACTTATGACCTTTTGCTGATTGCTGAAAAGTAAATTTACAACAAAAATTGATGAAAATAACATAAAAGTAAGTACAAGACATATGCCAAATTCTACATGGTAAGTGGTAAATATTAAGTATTAATAATAATTCCCAAAGCACATATTTCCAGTAATTATTTGAACAATTTTAACCTTTTAAATTGGCTTGATATTTAGTATAATATTGTTTGCTCGAAACATGAAAAAGATTCAATAATAAAAATTAACTTAAACATTATTTAGGTTGTGTGTAGAATATCTCTCTATTATTGTTTCAAATATTGTAGATTAAACTGTAAATTGGTCATGTCATGACAAGTTTTTCAAACTAATTTGATTTATGATTCTATCATAGACATTTCACAAAAATGGGCAGGCAATAAAAGTTCCAAAAAATCTGTACCTGTAAAAACTAATCATCATTTTTACATGGTTTGTGAGTTCCATCATTGTAGAGAATTGAATTTCAAAGAAGTTTTGTAAGTAGATGGGGAGAAATCTATATAATCAAAGAAAACCAGTTTTTTTTAAAAAGGTATGTAATTAGGTGAAAAGCAATAATTAAATTGATTATTTTGTAGACTTGAATCAATTAATTACCATTTCATACTGTTGCAGATGAATGATTGCACCTCTTCAAGTTCTACAGAATTATTAAATGAAGGAATCTGCTTCAGAATTGCTGACTGCATGTCGCTGCAACATCTGTGCTACAAAGTTTGACTGTTTAAAATATTGTAATTCTAAACTAAATTTTGAAAAATAACTTATTATATGGAGTAGTTTGACCGCAAATCTAAAAAAGAGTCACCATGTTGCAGGAAATGCACTAGCATAATAACTATATTAATGTCAATATTGATATATAGATGTGTAACCTATACATTATTTATATTATAATTTAGTGTTTTATATTAGTTTGATGTTAATATTATGACAATTTTTAGAAATATGTATTAGACTTTAATATAAAATATACACTAACATAATAAGATTTTCTCTAAATTGGGAAATGCAGTGTATAGAAAATAAAAATATACTAAAATAAAGGGGAATTAAGTATCAAGTACAAAAGATAAAAAAAAATACTATTTAGTGAAAAATATGAAACAAAATTAATTTATTAAATTTGGATTTTACAAATATCACAACTTATTATATATCTTAAACTTTTTTTGAACTAAGTAATAAAAAATAAACAGAGATTGTATACAATTTTCTTACAAGTAATTTAAATTTCAACACAGGTACTTTTCCCCAAAATGATGCCTCCTAAGCTCATTATTTTTCCTCGTTAAGGAATCTATAGGTTACACATCTATGGAGAATAGTAATAACAAAAGAGTTAAAATGCGGAATCTTTAGGTTCATGATAATTTTATGAATTTATTTGAGAAGTAAAACTTAAATATTGTATTCTATTTTTACAGTACATAATATTTAACATGACTTGTACATTTGCAATATTTTGATAGGAAAAGTTTGGATTAGGGGACTATTTGAAGCGTCGGCAGTGCAGTTGGCGCTTGACCGGATCATATTTTACATATCCAGGTACGATCTCCGCTATATAGTAATGAGTTCTTCGAATTTCATGATAACATCCATCAGACATTCTTACTGTAATTACAAATTGCATACAACTGCATAGAAATTCAAAGATATGTGCGAAGTCAACCAACCCTCACTGGCTCTGCATTGTTGAATAAGACCTAGTCGCATTCTTGAGGGTAGGCTCCGAGCTCCTCAGTGGAGTATAGTGTGTCCGTATAGTGAGCTTGATGATGACAATTTGTTTTGCTTCAATGCATATTGTCTTGTTAGCAATTTTCTAAATATTTTACCAACAGAGAGGAGCTAATCTCTTTCCAGTGTTATTCTATTTCTCAAGACAAGAGTGGCACTACTACTCCAGTTCTATCAGAAAATATGATCTATCAAATAAACAAACTGGAACAAATAAGCATTTATCAAAGTTGGGGTATTTTGTTGGTGAACTAAACAATAATGGTATTATTACGAAAGCAATGAGCATTATGTTGCGTTCTTAAAATATGTTCGCTTTAGTCAGAAGATTAAATAAAGTTGCAATTAACGAAATTGTTTTATTTTTCCAAAATTGTTTTCCCTCGAATAATACTTTCAAACGTCAAAACGGAAATTGACAGATTGATTTTTTTTAGGTTGGTAGCAACGTAGACTTGTTCATAACATTGCTAGCATTGAAAATGTCAATTTTTATTCTCCGTTTGTGTATCTAATTAGTCAAGAGTCCCGTCTCTTATTTTATATACTCTTTGATAAAAATTGTCATTTTCAATGCTAGCAATATTATGAACAAGTCTACATTGCTACCAACCTAAAAAAATCAATCTTTCAGTTTCCTTTTTGACGTTTGAAAGTATTATTCGAGGGAAAACAATTTAGGAAAAATAAAACCATTTCGTTAATTGCAACTTTAATTTAATCTTCTGACTAAAGCGAACATATTTAAAGAACGCAACATAATGCTCACTGCTTTCGTAATAATACCATTTAGTTCACCAACAAAATACCCCAACTTTGATAAATGCTTATTTGTTCCAGTTTGTTTATTTGATAGGTCATATTTTCTGACAGAACTGGAGTAGTAGTGCCACTCTCGTCGGGAGAAATACAATAACACTGGAAAGACATTAGCTCCTATCTGTTGGTAAAATATTTAGAAAATTGCTAACAAGACAATATGCATTGAAGCAAAACGAATCGTCATCATCAAGCTCACTATACGGACACACTATACTCCACTGAGGAGCTCGGAGCCTACCCTCAAGAATGCGACTAGGTCTTATTCAACAATGCAGAGCCAGTGAGGGTTGGTTGACTTCACACATATCTTTGAATATCTATGCAGTTGTATGCAATTTGTAATTACAGTAAGAATGTCGGATGGATGTTATCAAGAAATTCGAAGAACGCATTACTATATAGCGGAGATCGTACCTGGATATGTAAAATATGATCCGATCAAGCGCCAACAGCACTGCCGACGCTCCAAATAGTCCCCTAATCCAAACTTTTCCTATCAAAACATTGCAAATGTACAAGTCATGTTAAATATTATGTAATGTAAAAAAAGATTACAATATTTAAGTTTTACTTCTGAAATAAATTTATAAAATTATCATGAACCTAAAGATTCCGCATATTAACTCTTTTGTTATTACTATTCTCCATAGATGTATAGATTACTTAACGAGAAAAATAATCAGCTTAGCAGGCATCATTTTGGGGTAAAGTACCGGTGTAGAAATATAAATTACTTGTAAGAAAATTGTATACAATCTCTGTTTATTTTTTATTACTAAGTTCAATTAATTTTGTCTCATATTTTTCACTAAATGGTATTTTTTTTATCATTTGTACTTGATACTTAATTCCCTATATTTTAGTATATTTTTATTTTCTATACACTGCATTTCCCAATTTCGAGAAAATCTTATATATATAAATATATCTTAAGCACAATAGGTAATCTTTTAATAAATTATCTTTCTTATCTCTAGAAAAGCCCTTAACCAAAAGCGGAAGCCTTCTTCTTCTTCTTCTTCTTCTTCTTCTTCTTCTTATTCTTCTTATTCTTCTTATTCTTCTTATTCTTCTTATTCTTCTTATTCTTCTTATTCTTCTTATTCTTCTTATTCTTCTTATTCTTCTTATTCTTCTTATTCTTCTTATTCTTCTTATTATTCTTCTTATTCTTCTTATTCTTCTTATTCTTCTTATTCTTCTTATTCTTCTTATTCTTCTTATTCTTCTTATTCTTCTTATTCTTCTTATTCTTCTTCTTCTTCTTCTTCTTCTTCTTCTTCTTCTTCTTCTTCTTCTTCTTCTTCTTCTTCTTCTTCTTCTTCTTCTTCTTCTTCTTCTTCTTCTTCTTCTTCTTCTTCTTCTTCTT